TGGCTCTTGAGCACACTCGCAAGGCTGTTCATGCTGGTAAGCGTGTCTGGATGCTCCTTGCCCAACACCTTTTCACTCAACCCCAATCCCTGCCGATGCATCCGCTCCGCATCTTCATATTTTCCTAACTGGTGAAGACCCTCACCTACATTAAATATAAGACCTATCAGTGCGTCCCCGTCTTCTATGCTCTTCCGCAACTCAAGAGCGCGCTGTGTATGCGGAAGATACCGTATCCATTCTTCCCTGTTTTCGTGTTTTGGAGAAGGAAACACGTCTGCAAGCCGTTGTAGCACTTTGGCGGCCCATTCCCCCTGCTCTCCACTTTGAGCTAACCAAGAGAGCATCGATATTTGAACTAGCCGATGGATGTTGTAAGTATCTGACTCCTTATGCTGTGAGATGAATGCATATGCCTTTAGAGTCCCAAGTGCGTCAATAGTTTTTAGCCTCCCAGACGGCGGCAGCAGAGCTTGCGGAATATCCTTCCCAGCTAGGAAGCACATAAACCTGAGGTAATTGGCTGCCAGCGGGTCGTGCTCCGAGATGTGCTGGAACGAAATCAGCCAAGTTGTGGCGACAGGGTTTTGGATGTCCTTATATCGATGTCGGTCCTCAAAGTCCCGGCTTAACAGCTCGATCGTATCCTCGTCACTGGAGTTGCATAGCTCTAGGTATTGTGTAGTCGAAATCTGCTTCTTGCCCATATAAGCAGAGGCCTGCCGTATTGCTAGGGGGAGATTGCAAAGAAATTCCAGCAGCGCGTCAGTACTTGCCACATCGCCTATCTGATCCCCCTTCAACCCTTTCTGCAACAGCTCAAGGGCTTCGTCTCTACTCATTTCTTCAACTGGAATGATGCGACGCTCAAACTCGACTAGCTCTACCGCAACTTCGTGATTTCGCGTTGTAAACAGAATAGATCCTTTCCGGTTGAATGGAAGATAGTCGGCGAGGTCTGTGTCACCAAAGAGCTTTATATCATCAGCGTTGTCGATGACCAAAAGCCAGCTGCCCGTGCTTTCACAACTCAAAGCTGTCTTGACAAGTGCCTTGGAATCTGCCTTCTCCTCGTCGATCCCGGGTACCTTGAGCTGCTGGCCGATAGCGCGGTATGCGTTCTCAAAACTGGTGGCATCCACAGCGGGAACCCAAAAAACTGAGCAGTCCGGATGCGCGTCGCCGACACGAAAAGCGGCCTCGAGTGCGATCTGCGTCTTTCCGACCCCAC